TAAAGAAAATAAGTTTCGTTATTTCGTAGCTACAATATATAACAACCTTTATTGCATTAAATACACAAAAAATCTGTAAAGAAAAATACTTAATCGCAAAAAAAAGGAACCAAAATCAAAAGTAAAAATTAAGTGTTTAAAAAGTAGATATTGTCATTGATCGCAGATTAATTGACTTGTCAAGGAGAACAAATCAATTTACTATGAATTAAAACAACTAAATTAAGTGAGAGTGTTTCGTCCTTCTTCCAAGTAAGGATTAAATTATATTTCTGCCAAATTATAAGTCACGAAGAATACTCAATCAATAGAAAAACGTTAATCCATTTAATATAAAACAGAAACTAGGTGGGGAAAAATTATGAAAATGTGTAGAAATTCTTTACAGAATGGAGAAAAGTGATTAAAAACATTTGATTAAACATTTAAACAATAATTGCAAATAACATTTGGAGAACACTTTGCTTTCATTGGATAGCGGCAGATGTGATTTGTTTTTCGTAGAAGCTGAGGTTGCCGAGTAAGTAAATTGCTAAGACGTACGCACAAAATGCCAGATTTTAGATGTACCTGATGTCTAATAATTTTAAATATTCAGTGATGCTAAACATTCATGCGGTTTTTATCTTAACTCTTTAATTTCATGCGGTTTAAAATATCCTACAGAAAATACAATACGACTTTTTTTGTAGTTGAACTTGAAGATGATAGTTCAGATGAGTTTCTGGATGAATCAGATTTATTAGATGATGGTGATAGCGAAGAAGAAAACGAAGGCGTAAAACCGTAAGTAATGATATCATTGCACAAAACTGAAATGTTTCATGAAACCATCATTATATTATGCAAATGGTACTCAGAAATGTCAGAAAGATGTTTGTTCATTTGAACTACTTACTTTTCGATGCAACGAATGTAGAAATTTAGTTCTGTAGCAAATATGTTCAGATTTCCAACACGAAATGATATAAAGCGTCATGATTTTCACAATTAAGTATTAATCCATAAGTTTCGTCATTGTTTTTAATCTGACACGTGGATGTTAAAAACGCGCAAGTGGCTCAAAGAATTTTTTCTTATAGATATATTAGAATACCACACTAGAATAAATTATTTTAATAAATTTATGAGAATCGAATATAATTTAATAGTTACTATTAATTTTTATTTGCTGCAGTCAAAATCGTATTGAGATTTAAAATTAAATCATAAAACTGAAATAATCTGAATATTGATTCAGAAGTCAAACAACAAAAATCAGCGTTAATTCACAAAATTTTCACAGGACTAGTTTCGATGGTTTTACCGAACCATCATCTTCAGCTGCAAAACCGCAAATGAACAAGATAGGAAATAATGTTTAGATAAGATAAGAAAGCCTGGACAAGAATAAGCAAGTGGCGCCATCTGTTGGCGAAACCAGAACTAAAACATAATTTCTCTAAAAGCCGAAGGCAAATTTGGATTGGAATTAGGATCGTTAACTAGAACAGAAAGATTTTTATGAATGTGAAATGCCTCTAGAAAATCCAGTTCTCCAATGGAAGATGTTTTTTTGAATAATTTTGGCAGCAGAAAAATTGAAAGTGTGATTTTCGGACCAACAATGTTGAGCAACAGAAGACTTCTGTGTTTCCTTTTTTCTAACATATGCCTCATTTCTTTGACGCGAAATTTTAAGGCTCTCTTAGTTTGGCCAATGTAAATTAAACCGCACTGGCAAGGAATCCTATAAATACCCCAGGAATTCATATCCGGAATGGGGTTTTTGAGTATAGAAGTTGGAATTTTATTGATGGGAGAAAAAACAACCCGAAAGTTCAATTTCTGCAAAATATGTGCAACTTTATAGCTAATTGATGGAAAGAAGGGAATGACAACAGAATTTTTTATAATCTCCTAAAATAAGAGTGTGGCTTTTAGTGTGTTGAGATGAGAATTTTTTTAACTGCTTGATTAATAATGTTGGGTGAAAAGCCCCTGTCAATAGCTATTGCTTTTAAATAATTTAGTTCTTCATCAAGGGCTAGTTTGGAGGAGCAAACTTGAAGAGCACGGAAAACATAGGAATAAAATGAAGCTAACTTTTGTTTAGTCGGATGACATGATTTAAAGTGTGGTGGAAGGCAACCGATGAAGGTTTACGTAAACTGAGTGTTATTATTTTATTCATGTTTTCCGGCTCTTCAAGTTGCTCCCAAACTAGCTCTTGATGAAGAACTAATTATAAAAGCATAGCTATTGACAGGGGTTTTCACCCAACATTATTAATCAAGCAGTTAAAAATTCTCATCTCAACACACTAAAAGCACACTCTTATTTTAGGAGATTATAAAAATTCTGTTGTCATTCCCTTCTTTCCATTCAATTAGCTATAAAGTTGCACATATTTTGCAGAAATTTAACTTTCGAATTGTTTACTCTCCATCAATAAAAATTCCAACTTCTATACTCAAGGACCCCATTCCGGATATGAATTCCTGGGGTATTTATAGGATTCCTTGCCAGTGCGGTTTAATTTACATTGGCCAAACTAAGAGAGCCTTAAAATTTCGCGTCAAAGAAATGAGGCATATGTTAGAAAAAAGGAAACACAGGAGTCTTCTGTTGCCAACATTGTTGGTCCGAAAATCACACTTTCAATTTTTCTGCTGCCAAAATTATTCAAAAAACATCTTCCATTGGGAACTGGATTTTCTAGAGGCATTTCACATTCATAAAAATCTTTCTGTTCTAGTTAAACGATCCTAATTCCCAATCCAAATTGCCTTCGGCTTTTAGAGAAATTATGTTTTTAGTTCTGGTTCGCCAACAGATGGCGCCACTTGCTTATTCTGTCCAGGCTTTCTCTTATCTAAACCATTATTTCCTATCTTGTTCATTTGCGGTTTGCAGCTGAAGATGATGGTTCGGTAAAACCATCGAAACTAGTCCTGTGAAAATTTTGTGAATTAACGCTGATTTTTGTTGTTTGACTTCTGAATCAGTATTTATTCGGCGTGTTATTGTGTCTTAATCTGAATATATCAGTCTCTTGCCGCTTGAATTCTGGTTCTTTTGCCCTGAAGCCACTTAACACAGGTTAATACGATAGCTAAAATAGATTTATTTTTCATACTTAATTTTGCGTATTTCACTGTATCTTGCCATTGTATCTCGTATCTTCCTTTTCAGGACCCCTGCGCTTTGTGACAATGTTATAGGGAAAGGTTGTTTGGATGAAGAAGAATGCTGCGTAAAGAATGTTGAGTGTCTTTGCCATTCGAGTGGCGAAGATTGTAACTGCACTCTGATAGATGAAATGCATGATAATTGAAATATTTATACCATGCATGTCCGTAATTGTCATGGTTAAGTTCTAATAAAGTTATGTGCTCATTTATACTTATTTGCCATTTCGGCTTGTATTTTTTATTTCTTTGAATTTTGTTAAAGTATACATGAAAAATGTAAAAGTTAATTCTTAAATTCATATTTTATCCGAAGCAGCAAGAAAATTACTACAGAATAAATAAAGAACAAAACAGGATTTTTAAAAATATAAAAGCAGAGTAGTAAATACTATACAAAACAAAATATTTGTAAATACCAAAAAAGAAATTCAACAATATTGCAAAGTAACATAACTGCAAAGACTAAACAACAACACAATGAGACATAATAAACTCTGTAGTAAGTTTTTACCATGTAATACTTTTTTGTCATTTTTTTAAATGCTTTTTCTAATAGGTGTTACTGTACAGTGTTTATTCGTTTTGTTTCCGGAAAAGTATGAGTAAGAATTAGTTTCATATTTTTCTGCAAGATACCATTAAATTTACAGCAGCTACCAACATATTCTTTAAAGCTAACATATTAGGTTCCAACTTCCAATGTATTGTTGCGAAATGTCCAGACGCGGTGGGAAACCTTCCCCTCAAAATATGTTTAGGGTTTCCATAAAATGGCAAGAAAAGGCAGGGTTGCCATATTTAGCAGGAAATCGCCTATTTGGCGACAAAATTGGCGATATGCCATAAACGGATGGAGAGCCTTCTGGAACGAATTCTTACTGGTTTAGCCCAGAATTTTTTCGAACATAAGCCAAGAGCTACACAAACCATGCTGGTACGCGGAGAGTCGGTCGACTCAGGCGAACGCAGTTCGTAAACATCATGCACCCGCGCGGTAGCGCTATCTCGGGCTAACCATGTTGACGATTTTCGATCTGTAATGTAGCGGAGAGTCAGTCAGTGCGGAGTCCATCAACTTGATAGGCAGTCATTGAGTACCTAGTCGTGTCATTTAAGAGTCAGTAAGCGAGTGTCTCGAAGTCTAGCGACTAATTCGTCGTCGAGTTCATCGAAAGAGTCTCTTAGTGTATCGCGAGTTAGTGCATCGTCGAGTTTAGCATGTGTTGATCTCCGGGAACGACTGAACCGAGGCGGGAGCTGTGCTCTAGTGTATCATCGAGTGCATCGCAAGTTGTAGCGTGGAGAATCTTGAGAGCACGTGGAGTACCTAGAACGACCTACAGAGTCGGGATCTGGTGCTTTGCCGTGAAGCTCTCTCCACCGTTATAGCCTGATAGCCTGAAGGCTGTGTTATAGTATTTCTTAGACGACTGTAAAGGCGTTTCTGGAATTTACTTGAATAATACTGGGTAATAAATTGTGTTCCTATACTTCATCAAGTGCTATTCTCGTTATTCACTCCAAATCCACGAACCCGTAAGTACGTGAAGAAAAACGCAACAATATATTGGAATTAAAATTTAATATATATATATACATTCGCGCGCGCGCTTGCGTGTGTGTGTATGCAGTGTACATAAAACGATGCATTTATTTCATATTAGCATTTATCTTTGAAGCAAAAACCACGAAAAAATTCATTTTTCTCACTAGTCGTTTCAAAATGCCGTCGAATTTTTTAATCTGACCACAGAAATGTAATGATTATTACATCTTTGCAGTTGAAAAGTGATTATAATGTAATATTACAAAATTTATAAAAATATCTCACACTTTTAATTAACACTTTTAATTTAATTAAGTCTTGTAACAAACTTCCAAAGGTATGGTATGAGCTATAATAATTGTTTGCCTTATTATTTCATAAAAAGGCCTTGGAAAGTATATAACAGTGACTGCTTATGAGGTTTCTTCAAATCCAATTGGTTTACAGTCTCGAAGAGTAGCGGAATGTCCTCATCAGCGCATCTGTCATCTACCATTTGTGACCGTCGAGCTATTTCTACAACTGCACCTTTGGCAAGATCTGTACATTCTGTAGCAGCATAGTCAGCAACGCAACTGACTCTGTTAATATCCTGCCTGAAAAAGAAATACAAAGTATCTGTGTGATGTCTCTCTTCATGAGTCATAAATTCAAAGATCGTTTCGTTTCAGGAGTCAAGGTTGGGAGAAGCATTAGAATTTCAAATCAAAAATGTCAAGAGTTCACAAAAAATAAATAACATTTATTAACGATAACTTATATTACTTATATTACTTCCGCCTATAGCGGCCATGAACATAATCAAGCATCAAAAATATGAACATGCGTCATTCTCATGTTCAAGCGTCAAGGAAAATTTTTCATCGGCGCGTATCAAGAGGCGCCACCTATCTCCAAAAGGACGGAACATACTCCGCCCCGATGACATTGGTTCATTACAACATTATTATAAGATCTTCAATTTTCGATTTAAACAAGTTTTCCAAAAGTTCAACAGTATATCATATAAAATAAAATGCATAATGACAACTTAAATTGAATAACAACATTAATTTAGCACAAAATTTTACAAATAAAACAACTTACAATCTCTAGAAGGAAACAAAATAATGAAACTGCTAAAATTACCATAATCCACCATTGTGGTCCATTCTTGAATCGAAACATAATTGAATTAATAACAGTAAAGACACAATTATGAATCTACAATTAATTTTTTTTTTAGAGTCTTATTCATCAATGTAAGCGGGAAAGTTTATGTATAGGCGCTTCATTTCGCCCAAAGTTTTAGTTTCACAACACGAACTTTTCCATCAGCACCAGGATATAGTTCAATTACTCGTCCAAGTCGCCACTTTAATGGAGGCAAATTTTCGTCCTTTATCAAGACTAAGTCATGAGGGCTAAATTTGGTTTATCCCTCAAACCATTTTGTACGCCTTGTAATGTGAAAGATAATCTCTAGACAACGTTTCCAAAGTTCTGGAAATTGCTGTGTCAATTTCATCTTTCAGCAGGTTAGCTTATTATTTGTAAGATCAGGTTCAGGAATTGCTCTTAATTGTAGTCCCAATTAGGAAATGTCCAGGTGTTTAAAGGATTAAAATTCAGGGTCAGATGAGATGGAAACTATTGGCCTGGAATTCAAACACGCCTCGATTTGTGTAATTAAGGTGTGAAATTCTTCGATGTCAGAACCTGGGTCCCATAGTTCGCTTTAAGTGAATCTTCATTTGTTTCACTCCAGCCTCCCAAAGGCCTCCAAAGTGAGGGGCAGCAGGAGGATGAAGATCCATTGAATATTTTCACCGCTCAGGTAGTTTGAAATGCTTCTTCAGAGGAAAGTGTAGCTTGTTATCTCTTAATTCTCGATCAGCCCCAACAAAGTTGGTTCCTCTATCTGAAAAGATTTTCTTGGGTTTTCCTCTGCGTGACACAATCTTTTCAGAGATGCTAGGAATGCTTCAGTTGTTAGATCAGACTACTTCTAGGTGAATGGCCTTGTGTGTGAAGCATATGTAAAGGCAAAACGTAACATTATATCTCGTTCCCCCTCTTCCTTTCCTAGCTTTTAATTAGGAAGGGGTCCTGCAAAATCCAGTCCTGTATTCGAGAATGTTCTATTCGGCAATACGAGAGAAGCTGGTAGGTCGCCCATTATCTGACTGGATGTGCTTGCTCGATTTTTAAAACATTTTATACATTTCCAAATTATTTTTTTTACAATTTCTCGGCCGTTAACGATCCAATATTTCTGTCGAAGAGCAGAAAATGTTAATGTGGCTTCCTTCCGCGAAGGTTCACTTTGTGAAAGTGTTTGACTATCAATTCAATAACCTGGTGACTTTTGGGAAGAATGATTGGATACTTTGTGTTTTCTGAAAGATTCGAGTTACAGAGTCTACCACCGACTCTAAGGATTTCTTCTCTATCAAGAAATGGATTAATTTCAAGATTTTACTGCTGAGATTCAATTTTTCCCTGCTTTCAAAAGTCTAATTTTCTTCTCTAAATTCGGAATTTTGTATGATTTTGAAAATCAAATTTCTTGCCTTATCCAACTTCTTGAATTGTTAAAAAACCCTTGAGTTTTAAAGATGTAGGTTTAATATTGTTGCAGAATCTTAAACACCATGCAGTTACGCGTTTCAGTTTCTTCCAGGATGAAAATCTGTATGTCAATCAAATTCAGCCTCTTGGCTTAATAACAGAACATACAGTAGTTTGACGCTGTTCCTACTTGTACCTCTTCTATCATAGGCTCAATCAAAAGATCAAAAGATGATGAAGGTAGATTTTTCTCTTTTAACCACACTGGTCCATTGAACCAAAGTTTATTTCCCACTAGATCAGAAGCTCTTAATCCACGTGAAACTATGTCAGCCGGATGTCATTTCCTTGCAGTATTCCATTGCGAAGGTGATACAACATCTTGTATTCACGTACACGATTAGCAACAAAGGGTTTCCATTTATCAGCTGTACCCCTGATCCAGTGAAGAACAATTTTAGAGTCACTAAAACAAAATACATTATCTTCTTGGATATTAAATAATTTCCTTAAATATTTAACTATTCTTGCGGCAATAATGCTCCCATAAGTTCTAAACGAGGCAAGGTTAATTTTTTAAGCGAGGATACACGGCTCTTTGAAAGAACAAAAGACGTACAGCAAGAATCAGGATCACGAAAATATGCAACAGCTCCATATCTCTTGAGGCTGGCGTCACAAAAGACAAAAAGCTCTATTTTATCGAAATTTACACATTCATCATTTAATATGTATTTCCTAGGAATACACAAGTTGAGAATAACTTCAATTTCAAAGTACCAAGTTTTAAATTTTTCACTCAAATAACTGGGCAAAATTGTGTCCCAATCAATACCCAATTCCCCATAACTCTTGTATAAGAATTTTATTCTGATAACAAAGGGCGCAATGAATCCAACTGGGTCATAAATTTTTGCCACAATCTGTAATACCTTTCGCTTTGTAACGTGTTTCCTGTCAAATGGTGTAAAAGTTCTTGTACATCTAATTTCAATGTGTCCTCATCCAAATCCCAAATTATTCCCAGCACCTTTAACGTTTTCATATCCAAATTATCTTCCTATTAATTAAACCAATATCTTGCCAATGATTTTTTAAGATACGGAATTTGATTCAAATTTCTTAAGTTCATACCAGCGTCTGAGAATTTTAACTGCATCAGTTGATAATGAGAAAACTTCTTCAACGGAGTCTGCTCCATGGATAGGAAGGTCATCACACATATAAGAACTTATTTAACATGTCAACAGCTTGCTATATTTCTTTTCATAACCCTTAATATGATGTTTGGTAGTGGCGGACAAAATAAACGGACTTGTCATTCCAAACGGCACTCGGCACATTCGGAAAACCTTAAAGCCTAAACTATTGTCACTATCGTCGTAGAATGGTCAACCACAAGAACCTTAAAAATTTCTATCTTCACTATCAATTTGAATTTGGTGAAAACCTTCTCTTGTCTGCACAAAATGCAACTTTATGTACGCGAAATTTTAAAATTATATCCAACAAGTTAGGATTTAAATTAGGGCCTGATATCAAACATTCATTTAACGATTTTAGCTCCTTCAGACTTAGAAGAGGCATCATAACATTCTTATTCTTGTTGTTACTTTTCCTTCCGTATAACGGGCCTATGAGGCATATAATAACAGTTAGGTTCATTTTCAACAAACTACATTGTTCAACAATCCCCTTTCAACTTGTTCTCTAATTATTTATCATATTCATTATATAGGAATCATTTCCCTTTAATTTATGCTTTAGTCCTAGAAATCGTTGTTTAGCAACGAAAAATTATCAGCGAGTTGTGATTTATGTTCCTTCCAAAAGAGTTTGTTTCGTACCTGCCGTTATTAAATTTTAAAACTGTCGTTAAATGCTTAATAGTATCCAAATCAGTTTCCGAAAAGGTTTTATTTTCATTTTCAATTCCTATCGAATCCAATCTTCCAAACTGACTGCGAAATCAAATGTGTTTCCTTCAACGGCAGATAAAAACCAACGCATAATTCGAGTATTATTATTTTTTATTTACCCATCACTGTGTATCCAAATATGGTCGGTTATTATAAACAAAACATCATTTATCATTGAATTACTTCCTGTTTGTATATACCAGAAATGCTCCGCGCCAAGCAGAATATTTATGTTCTCATTAACGGGACTTGTATCCGAAAGTTCCAACCCTTTTTAGTCATAAATTCTTTAATGTTTTGACATGTTGATGGCGCCTGGAATCTATTGATGATATTAATTCTATCCCTATAGCTTCTACAACATGGCAGCGATCATCGTTTTTATTTTTATTTTTAGACTATATACATCAAATTCTGCGAGTTACCGCGCTGATTTCCAAAAACGAATAATTGTTAGAAATTCTTTTCTAATGACTTGCAATCTAAATCGCGCGCTAACTTGTGGGTGATGAAGTTTCGTTCACTACCTGAATCAATTAATAATCTTACGATTCTCGATTTATTTTTGCTTTGGCAATAACAGAACATGTCTGTAAGAGCACACTATTTTCAGGTTTTAGAGTACAGTGGGAAGTAGATACTAAAGTTTTATTTTGCGTATCTGCGGGTTAACATCTTCCATTTCTTTCGATTTCAAACGGCAGAAAAAGTTTATTATGATTTTTCTCGTTACAATTTTCGCATGGTTGTATTTTTGACCTGACAATCCAAAGACAAATGTGATTTTAGAAAGCAACTATGTAACAGCGACCTTCCTTTTTTAATTTGTTTCATTTTTGTTCGTCGGAAAATTTCAAACATCCGGCAGATGTATGTTCGTTTGATTTGCAGAATATGCAAAACATTTTTATCCGATGTGTTAAAAGCAGGAAGCTTGTGATTTTTCTTTATAATGTTTTAACCCTTGTTTAGGATTAACCCCTGTGCATTTTATTACCTTTTGAGCTATTAATCAACAATACTTGCTTCTCGGCATTCAGTTTCGATTTTAATGAACTCTATTAATTCACCACTCGCTTCAATGTTTTGGTTAGATGCTTCTTTTCCTATGGAATTCAAGAGCTAATTCTTCAGGTAACAATTTAAGAATTATTGGGTTCAATAACTGTCCGTATGAACCGCTAGTAACATCTAAAACTACTTAAATTTCTAACGCAGATTTGTAACTGATTATAGAGCTTTCTTAACTCAAAAACATTTGAAGAACTTTTTAACTGGTTCTAACTGTACAAACATCTGCATGAATTTTGATATAATAACATCTTTACGACCAAACCTCTCTTTAAACTTTTAATGCATAGATCATAATTTTCTTCAGATAAGCATAACCAGAAACACAATTATATGCTGAACCAGATAATAAACTTTCAAATATGTAAACTTATCTATTTTAGATAAACTTGGATTAGAATAAATAGCATTATCATACGAATTAAAGAATTCGAGCCATTTACTGGGATCACCAGCAAATTTTTCAATATTAATTAGGTAACTTTACTGAAGCACTACTTGTAACAACATTATTACCATTCAGAGTACTACTAATATCATTACTAATTGTAATTATACTTCTTTCAACAACTTCATTACTGTTAATTTTCTTTACTTTACTAACAATCTTAGCTTTAAACGTTATAATTTTTTCATCATACTCTTCACATATAAGTAGTTCGTTATCATATTCTTTTTCATCAATTATGAGAGCATCGATCTTTGAGTCAAGAGTTTTAAGTTTCTCATGGTATTCAATTAACAATTCATATGATGAATTTAATCTTCTAGATGTTCTTTACTTAATTCTTCGATAATAATTTCTCAAGTTTATTTAGAAGTGTAGTAACTTTACTACGTACAATAGCACGTTTCTTTTTCTCTTTTGCTAAATCATCCATTATGTTTCGTTTTCAAAGATCGATACCAAGAACAAATGAATCAAAAGTCTTACCTTTCAAAAGGTAATTCCTCTTTTCGCGGGTTTCAGACCCCAAAAAATGTGTGATGTCTCTCTTCATGAGTCATAAATTCAAAGATCGTTTCGTTTCAGGAGTCAGGTTGGGAGAGCTTAGAATTTCAAATCAAAATTTCAAGAGTTCACAGAACATAGAAATAACATTTATTAACGATAAACTTATATTACTTATATTACTTCCGCCTATAACGGCCATGAAACATAATCAAGCATCAAATAAATATGACATGCGTCATTCTTCATGTTCAAGCGTCAAGTGAAAAATTTTTCATCGGCGCATATCAAGAGCGCCACCTATCTACCAAAAAGACGGAACAGTATCATTCATTACAAAAAAAAAGGAAGTTCATGAAGTAAAAAAGAATGAGCATCACAATTCTCCTTTATAATATTTATTAATAATTTGAAATATTGCGATGATGGAATACGTCGAAACTAAACGTTTAAAACTTTCAGGTTCCCCAAATTATCCAAAAAGGGAAATTTTCATAAGAACATTCAAATTAAACAATTAATTAGATAAAAAAATCAAACAGAGTTTATCATTCTAACTAATTAATATCAAATTAACTATGTTTATCTATATATATAAAATAATATAAAACGTTTCTTACAGACATTCAATTGTATCCAATTGCTGCAAAATTGCTTCAGACCCTTTTCCTTCGAATATTCCAGCGTTTCCTTCAGATTTCCCTTCTACGTAGTTTTTATAAGCGTCCATCAGCTTTTCTCGAGACTTTCCGCAGTTTCCTTTGCCATCATTTAAGGCGCCCTTTATACATGGCAGACCTTTTGCAACAACTGATAAAATATAAAATTTGGATTATTCTGAAATTTCTTATACTTAAATATGCATCACAAATTCAATCACAAAGCATTTAAATATTATTTTAAATTCTAATACATCCTCTCATTTGATAAGTTCTGAGGATCACCTACGCATAGTGCTTAGAATATTTCTAACAACTTAATAGATATCTTAAATTTTGTATTCTTTTACGCAATAAAACGTTCTAATTTGAAGCCTTTTATTGTTTACTGAACGAAAAAAAAAATAGTCAATAATAAGTAAAATGCATCATTCATGTGTTCGATAGGTTAGAGATTCAAAAACTACAATAAAATTTTTAAAAAAGTGCGCTTTTAACTTTCTAAACATGACGAAAAAATAGCTTAAGCCTTGTGTAAAAATAACGATGATGTGCTCTGATTAAAAGTAAAAAAGGCTCAAAACAGCCGAGGCTTTAAACCTGGAATGTGCCAGTTATAGAAAAGAAAATCTGATATTCCTTAACCTTTAAATGCATGTAGTTGCCATTTGACAACATACTCATATTTAGTCATGTAAATCAAACCAAAGCACAAATTTTAGATTACTGCATAGCATTACCAAATAGATACGTATTGTTTACGTTATATAGTTTTGAAAGTTTCAGTGTGGTGGCACCATTAACGGTGTAATGGTCATTATTGGGAGTTGATGTGTAGGGAGTGGATATTATTTGTGTTTACGAATTTTTTATTTATGTTTATTGTTGTTTTGATGCAAGTTTAAAATTGTTTGAACAAGTTTATAATATATAAATTATTACATAAAATTGTTATTACACATTTGCCTATCATATTTTTTTTTGTAAAAGTTAATAAAATTTTTTTCAAAATTTGGAATAAAAACTTAGTTCAGATTTTTTTTAGTATTTTTCCTATTTTATTTGATACCATTTCTAATGTATTTATGATTTTAAAAATAAAAATAAAAATTCGTGAGTTTAAGGCTTTAAGGCCACAAAAATCTGAAAAATTGTTTATATGTTCAGGTGCTTATTCTTGCTTGCATCGATAATTCTATGATAGCAATTCAAATATGAGGTAGTATATGCGAGTATTCAAATATAAGTATTCATAGAAACAGAACATAGTATATTGAACCAAGTATACATAAAAATAGAACAATATATTGTTACTGGCTTGAAAAAGAAAAACATAAATAGTGATGACATATACAAGACTTGCTAAAAAGAAAATGCAGGATACTACTTACATAGATATTTAAAGATGACAGTCTTATAAATACTTATACGCAAAGTCATTAAGATATCGTGCATTAAAAACTGAACAATACATTTAATTAGACATAAATAAAGGAAAACTGAACTGCAAAGGGTGAATACATGACAGACTAGCTAAAATGAAAATGCAGGATAATACTAACATACATACTTAAATATAGCTAACATATAAATATTTATGTGCAAATATTGATGTACAGCAAAGTATAATAATCTAACGGTGGTATCATGCATAGCTGTGTCTGGTGCATATTATCAGATTACTGTGTGGAAAAGGGGAACAAGTTGGAACTCTGAGTGATGCGTTAAATAGTAAAATAGCCTGAGTAAATTAATAGTGAAGAGGAAGGTGTGGGTATGAACAAGACTTGCTGAAATGAAAATGCAGAATGAAACTTCCATAAATACTTAAATATAATAGACTTAATTATTTACTTATATACAACTATTAGTGTTCAGAAAATATTAGTGTACTCTGTCTCCACTATATGCATTGCATTACTCTGGTTATTAGTAGAACAACACTTTAATAGTTCCTCTTCGCTGAAAAATTGTACCTTCTTCAAGAGCCTTTTTTACTCGGATTTTTTTAGAAACACAATAGTGCTATCTGTACTATCATCCCAGCCCTTGGCAAGGGTTTGGTCGGTAGTAGATCAACTCCGATGAGTAGATGAAAATCCCGCCTGGAGAATATCCTGGTCGGAAGCTTGCTCAGCGGCGAGTAGTAGTAGAAATAAGTGGATAATCAAATGCGTGATGATCGCGATTTTCAATCTCCCCACATTTACAAAGATCACTTTCCATGAACCTAAACTGACTGAGGTAGCTCATAAATGGTCCATGCCTAGTGAAGGATTGTGTGAGCTCTGGGTGTCACTTTTGAGAACTGCATCAAATTCTGGAATGAATAGGAACTCTTCTTCTGCCTGTAACTTCATTGTTCGAACGCCGTTGCCATTTATTATAGAGAATTCGACGTGTGGGAACTTTAAATGAGAAGCTGGCAGATTTATATTGTGGGTGCTAATACTGATGTCTGTTGCCGCTAATTTGAACATCTGTTCACCTACGACATTTCTAAATATTCCAATATGAGTCGGTTTTTCATTGCAGCTTCGATCTCTTTTACAGCGAACGTTTTTGAATACCTCTATGATCGGATTTCTGAACAGATTTCTTTGAATTTCCTTCAGGCTTGATGAGGACTCCGTGTGAATAATTACGTAGGCACTATCAGAGGTGCAGAAGTTCAGTACCGCTCGCAAAGCAGTTAGTTGCGCTTGAAAGTCTCAGTTATTTTGTTCTCAGTTGTTTCATTTTTCTCGACCATGTGCTTATAATATTTGCGACCAACAAAGCTGGGGGGTTCTACCTCTTTCTCTTTCAGCCTGTCCGTGTCGAACTGCACCGATGTTTCCTGAAAATTGGTTTATCCACCAACTGTTTTGAGGAATCCAACCCCAAAATCACTGTTGCCTGCAAATTTCTAACAATAAACTTGCGGGTATTTAAAATAACAAAGCGGAAATTTCAGATTAAACGTTCCGTAATTGGAGACTTTACAAATTGGCCTACTAAAGCTGGTTTAATATTTTTAATGTCATTGGCTACCTATATTAGCGTCAGCTAGCAAAATGGCTAAAGCCGAAATATTCGCTGGCAGAGCTGGATAGCAGCGTGTAAACATCAGGTGTCATTACCAGGAGCACTATAACTAAAACAATCAAAGCCCTCGATTTAAGTACTTTTTCAAACTAATTTGCATCACGATGAGAGCTACATAAAGTAGGAGTTATAGTTAAGATTTAAATCATAATAAGCGGTTAATTAACATAAAATATTCAACAAATTTTCTAATTCAATATATCTTGCCTTTTAGTTCGTTAACTCTAGATATAATTTCTCGACGTTCCTGGATTCCTTGACGTTCTCATCATACGTAATGAATTTAATTTTAACAGCATTGCATACAAGTGATCTCTGACGGAGAGCAGAGATTCTTGGTGGCTACCAGTAGTCAGCAGGAAGCAGGAATTGTCTCTGCTCTCTTTTTAGAGAGAACAGTTTGGTCTTACAGAAGTTAAGCGAGTTTTCTACTTAAAGTATTGCTTACAGTAAATCCTCTTCAGTTTAGCTTCTTCTCTGATATCTTTTCATTTTACTAAAGAGAAGATTTTATTCCCCGCCCTCGATGTTTCCTCCTCCAAATGAACTTAAGAGTGTTCCAACAGATAGATGTGTTGTTACTAAGCTCTTCTGTTACTAAGCAAGCGATTATAAATTTGTTGAAAGAACTAGACAGGTATTTCAACCTTTCGTCAGATTAATTATAAACTGCATGTGTCTGACATAGACTTTAACGTCGTTTTCTTTCTCGTGCTAAAATAATTCATAGTTTTATCCTTAATTATAATGTTCCCAATTTCAACTTTTAGATATTCCTTGCCAATGTGTCTTAAAATTCATTGCCCAAATAAGGTGAGCGCTGAAATTTCGTTATGTCAACTACTAGCCGCTACGCTGCCATCCTTCGTCTGGCTTTTAAATGTACCGGGAAAATGCCTGAAGGGAACACCAAACGTTAAATTTAAAAACTGCGCAGAATTTTACTTTGTAGAACAACTTGATAAAAAAAGAAAAAAACCCACAATTTTTTTAAATGTATTACATATAACAAAATTACAGTAAAATAAGCAATATCACTTATTACAATTATTAATTATCCTAATAAATAAATTAACCAACATCCCGTTGCCTTCTCTCAACAAACGTCCAGTATCCAAGAGAAACATTAAATTTAAAACCTGTTCAGAATGATCGCCCTCATTTCTCCAAGTGGTAACAGTGCTGATTTTCAACAGTCAGCAGTCCAGTGTACAATTAAATGAAAAACTGTTTCCAACACCACATTTCTAAAAGAATAAAGCTATTGAAAATGATGAGATAAAATCGAAAAGATAAAATTTTAAAAATCTGATTCGAATTTTGAAAAAATCGCTTCGAGGTGCACTAGCTCTTGTCTTAGATGCACCTATATACCAAATTTCGTAGCCCTCGATCTATTAGTTTATGCGCAGCACGAACGAAAATACACAGACTCTTTCTTTTATTATATGTAGAGATGAAGTAAATCATATATTCAAAAAAACCAGAATTTCATAAATTGTTACTTACCCTCTGTTACTAAGCGGAAAAACACATTTCAAAAATCTCTCTAGCCACAAAATAGTCAAACCACATGTTTGTTTTGAGAAGGGGATTATCTGGGGAAGCTCCACGTCTGTAAAATTACCTCGGTTTGAGTTTATAATCCAAATTCTTCTAACTCCTGTTTATCTTTATTCTTTAAAGAACTCTTTTCTCAGCAGTTTCTAGTTCACGTTCTCATCCATTGAGTTCTGTATTTTACATGCTACCATTGAGTTACACTGCAGAATATAAGCCCAAAACTTTATTTAATGAAGGAACACGCGTTTGCGTTTTCTGCATTCTTTTAAACTTTTGTTCCCTTAAGTTTCATTCTTAGATTTTTAAGGGAAGAAGAAGTTTCTGTTAAACTTTCCAAACTATAATACTACTCGTTTAACTTAATTAACTTAAGTAACGACAATTTGTGTTCATTACTTTAGCAGGATCAGATAACCTTTGTGTTCCTTTTTAAATATTTATCTTTGAAATATGCTTCTTCAAAATAATCATGCATTTTGTCGCCTGCAGGAATAAACAGATCTTACTTTTAATTATAAATTAAAGTTCTCCTTGTTTTTATGCGCTTAATTTTTCCATACCTAAAATAATAATATTTTAGGATATACAAGTACATAACAAAATTTTGTTATTTATCAAATGTCTGGCCGCCATTGACTATCAGATCATTAGGCAACGAGCTCTCCAATACTTTTTTACAATACAGTCCAATTTCTTAAGTGCAGAGGGCAAAGCGCACGTTCAGATGAGCAGCGTCGATGATTTTTCCAGAATCACACAAAACACAAAAGCACATAAGGTGAAGTAGTCAAATTAAACGAAACAAATGAGCACCAAGGCAGTCATGTCCAGTCAATAGTCTAAACTCAGCCACAGCAGTAACGCGAGAAGAGTCCGAGACATAGTCGGCTTTTAATAGCACCCTCCATGACTTATTTTTTAGTAGAACTAACAGCAGCATTACGAAAGGATATTTTATAAATTCTATTTATTTCAAGTTTAGCAAAGCGAAAAGATAGGCCAGTACATAACAAAATAACAACACAAATTTCCTCCAAAAATAAATACTGATTCAGAGTGGCCTTCATATTGTAAATTCCTGCTAGTTTACAAATAAAACCGCTATTTTTTTTTCAAAACTTTTAATCGAAGTAATAATAATAATTTAATAATCTTTTCTGCGTATCCAAATGGAACACTTTTGCTGCGTGTAAATCTTTGTCTTTTCTGACTGGTACCGCTGATAGCGGATGGTAGATAGTTTCCATCAATAGAGCACAAAAGCTGAAAATCGTAATGATGGTGCAGTTGCTCTGTTGATGATCTCCTGTAGAAAACAGCATATATTCGAGTAGATAATGGCTGACTGATTTCACAAAGGTTCCAAAACGGTTTATGACTGGCATATGCTATCTGTAACTCTTTTCACGTATGCTACCAGTTGTCACTTATGCCAAGAATGAAGTTAGATGCAAAAGACAATGACGCATGTTGCTTGTTGTACATACGTGACGATCAAAAGCATTGTTGTTGTCGAGACATAAATAATGGACAACAGGACAGCTAAAGACTAAAGCTATTATAAAAAAAATCTACAATGTTTGTTTTATGTTAGAAAAATATTTTAATATGATATTGTTATAACATTGTTATAGTATATAATTTGTAGTTATATATTATAACAATGTTTTATGTTTTAAAATTCTCATTTACATGAGTAATATCTTTGACTGGTAATATTTTATATGTGTTAAATCAAGAAGTATTTTAGCTTAGCATTTTTTACACATTTTTAGGTATTTAATGTAAACGAAAAGAGAAAACATATAACTCACTTTTGTAAAATAGAGTGTCTTTCTCACAAACATCATTGAGGAGACTTACTATGCTTTCGTATCGTCCAGGATAACTAAGTGGTCCTATTGTTTCGCAGTGCAGGAATTTGGCAAAACATTCATAGTAATCACCAAAGTATCTAAATAAAAAGTTTAAAAAATATAGTTTTTCAGGGATTATTGATACCTAAGATGATCTTGATATAATAACCCATGCAGCGAAGTTAACAAGATAATATTGTTGTGCCACGAATTTTTAAGTGTGTTCATGTTTTTAAGTAATCAATAATTAAGTATTTTTATTTGCATTTCATTTAAATTTGAAATTGTAAAGAGTATCTGTAAGTGTTAAAACCTTTAGCTAGTTATTTTTTTTTCAACGGTAGGTTTTTCTAACTAAGACAGAAGGCCTTTCTTTTGAACTTTCTTTGAACGGAAAGGACATTTGTTTAATGACTTTTACGATACCAGTAGAACTGAGGGCAGTTTAGTGTGTTTTCGCATTTCGTTCATTTGGCCTCAATGCAAAATTTCATTTTTGTCCATGGTTCTTAACTCAGATATATTTGTAATTATTTACGTATTCTGTTCAACATTTAATTAACATGTATGTAACTGTGGGAGATGTAATTTACGGACTAATCTGGTGTCCTCCAAGATGCCGCTTCCGGCTGAGGGCGGAATTATTGTACTATAATGTGCTTCTAATTAACAGGTTTCTTTTCCAAAGGAAAGGGGCCCAACTGTTCAATCAGCCCTTCTGGGGGTGTTCTTGACCGAAAGAGAAAGTTCCAAAATGGGAGCGTAGAACTTGACTTTCCTGCATGATTTTTTTTATACATTAAAGGGGCAAAAAAGATAATAAAAAGGGAGAGAATGTTTTGAGAACTAGTAATGAAAAGAAACGCTTGCGCGTCTGTGGAAATTATTATTGTTTTTCAAAATATTATGTTGATTGTTCTGAGAATGAAATATAATTGTATAAGTTTTTAAATAAACCTAAAATACAACCTATTTCTTCCATTCTGAAAGGTTAAGCCGTTATGTTATGTGTGTTGCCCATCCATCTGCGTGTCGCCACATTACATCGCCATCGTTGTAAGCTGCCCCGAAATAGATTGTTATTAAAGTTGAGTTATCAGATAGGTACTTCTTTCTGTTTTGTGATTGAAAATATGCTGCTATCTGCCAGTAAATGTATCTTTACTTATTAAGAACTAATCAGTAAGGATTACAATATTTAATTGCAATGATTTAATTAAATGCATATGATTTTGAAAATTCTTTGTGATCCATCTTAATTATTATTCTTTTACTCTTAGATAAAACTCTTTGTTTTAGCTTAAAAAATATTTGTAGTGCTTTAAGTTTTTTTTTCCCATTTCACTCTCATATTAGTTTGTTTATCTTTAGAATATTAAGATTTGTAGCTTCGACCTTAAAGAACACAATGAAATTTCTTTAGAAAATAAATTTGCTGATATAGGGAAGGTACGATGATATCTTAATCTTCAGCGAGAATTTAATTTAATATGATCTAATAACTGATGCTGAAATATTTAATTAAATTACTTAATACTAATTAAATCATAATGAAGTTTTAAAAAACTCTAAATAATTAAATAACATTTATTTTACAATTTTCTCCCCGGTGCCTTGTCTCTGATAGTTGGGCAATAGACTGCTGTCTTGTTTGGAGAAATCTCTTTTTTTAGAAAACGATAATATTCACTTGTGGCTACTGTCTTCATAAAATTTTCATGAAACTTAATTGAAGTGAAGAAGCACAACGCACACTTATCCCTTCACCAGTGTAATAGCAGTATTTTTTCGGCAGAGGCATTCAGTTTAACTGATTGGAAATCGCTTTCCGTGGTTCGAATAGAGATTCTAATCCAAATATTACCAAATACTATTCTATACCAATTTTTTTTAATATTTCCTTTAGTAATCTAATTTATAAGAGAAGTTTGCAGTTGTCTGTATTACATATTTCAGCTAAAAATAATCATTAATTTACATAAATAGCTGTGTTACTAAACGAAAAAGTCTCATGTTCACTAAGTAAAACTTAATAAATGATAATAATGAATAAAATAATGTCTTCAATAGCTGACAGTGGTTCGCACGATTGAATTGAGGACAGGTGAAAATATATTTGGGCTCTTTTTTAACAAATAATGTTAACAGTTAAATATACTTACAAACAAATATAATCAAGCTCGTCTTCGCTATCCATAAATTCCGTTCTCACAAAATCTTGTTTACAAACTTCGTAAGGATCTTGCTTACAGATACGAGATTTGCATATGCCTAAAAATACAAAGTTTTCTGAGTATTAATTTCTGGTATCACTTTGTTAGAGGAAAAGAATTAAATGATTAGTATGTATTTTACATTCCTGATTTCGATTAGATGTTAGAATGCTTTCAGACTCCAATATTTTGCAGCTCAACATTCTAACGTTACACTACTGATCTAATAACCTTAATTTATTAAAAACTGTAATTATGTATTATGTATTACTAATTAGAGATTAGTGTTAGATTAAAAATTTTAATTCAGATAAGAATTCAAAAAGATTAGTTTTCCAAAACAGATGACGCCTTCTCTTTTAGTCGACTCATTACCTGTAGGTATGGAATATCAACACAATCTTAATGAATTTGAGACTTTCATATACATCTAAAAAACAAACATAAAAATTAACTCTATGCGAGACAGGAAAGTAGTATCCTTCAGTGTCGCTTATTTTTACTGCGCAAGGAAAAAACATCATGTGAAACTATCAAACATTCACTCAGGTGTAAAAATTGCAGGAATTGTTTACGGCATATTTATGAAAATTTTAAATAAGCTGTATTTATTGGATCAACTTATGAGTACACAAAATTATCTCCTTTTCTATGTGAATGGAGTATTTGGGACAAAAAGAAACACAATAGTAAAGAAGTTTTAAATCCTGACAATTAACTAAATTACTTCTACCGAATAAAAATGTAGCTTCTAGATTTTAATGCATCGTCAGAGAGTGTGCGTTATGTTTCATCACCTCAGTTACGTTTAATGGAAATTCTATGAAGAAAATAGATTCAAGTTGCAGAGTTTGGCCTGCTTAAGAAGTATATAGTACTAGACCAACACTTTGGAAGACAAGTGGCGAATTATCGCTATGCCACAGAAGCAGGGAAAGCATGTAAAGGACTCTTTAATTAATTTAAATAAAATTTACTCTTTCAACTCGTCCTTACAGAAGTACACACTTTTGGCTTAAAATAAAGATAATGGACAAACTTAAAATTAATGAAATTTAAGTATAGTTTAACGGCTATACAGTTTAACTAGAGTAGAAACTTGCTGTACTTTGACGAAGTCAGCGCAAACAAGCCTAATAGCAAGAATAACTCAATGCCGCATAATTCTAATCGCTAGAGAATCAAAGTTGGCAACGTCGCCTTCAAGCAGGCAGGACACGTTCTGACTTCACACTCCAAAACTTCCTTTAAGTACTTTGGTTCCTAATTTGAATATCGCGCACGCTGTAATTTTGCATTTTGGCAGGGAAAAGGAGGATAGACAGGAAAGGGATTTAACTCAAAATAAAGATTTTTGAAATTAAAATGAACCTTACAAAGTAGATATTTTCGTTTTCTAAAAAGAGACTCTTCTTTTTAAATCTTGCGAAGCTATTATTAAGTAAGATATTTTTTCCTAGTCTTTACAATAAAGAACCTGTGAGTGATTTTAAATTTGAAAATATACCGAATAAGGCTGAATCCGATACTTAAAAATCTTTCAAAGGCACGGTGATAAAATTCGCCCGTAATCAAAAGACGCAGGTCAAAAGACTTGTCGTTACTGGACTTTATAATTTTATAACTTAGCTCGCTTTCGCTGCAACAATCTCGTGACGCCATCTGTTGGTAAGAGTAGGAAGTAGGACCCGACTACTGCTTCATTTCTGAAGATGATAGCTGACTTTTGGGGTCCAGAAAGTTCTACAATTTTCTTATCTGTTACCTAAATAATTTGAAGTAAAATCTTTTCGGATTATTTTGGTTCAGAAATAATGCATGAAACGTAAAGAACAGTATCTGTTGGTTATATAAAGGGAAACTGTAATATGTAATGAAACAACTGAAGCAGTTTTTTTGTTTTATTTCCATTAATTAATTAACTGATTATTTTTTCCTTATATATAAACTGTATTCTATGGCATTTGTGAGATTTTATTTAAGCCACCTAAATTTTGAATAAAGAAGTATCTAAAGAATTCTGAAATAAGTAAATAATAAGTGCATTGCAAAATATGTGCTTTAAATAAATTGCATATTATGACAGGACTCATAGCATTACAGAAGTTTTTAAGCAGTGAAATGAGTAAAACTTTTGTTATATTATTTTTCGAAAATATGGTAATTATATATAAGTAACCGTAAGGGGTACTTATTTAAAGCATACCTACAAAAGAACGAAATTCAGCCACGAGAAATAGCCTAAGGTAAGTGAAATTTCTTTTTTACTTTTAAAGTCTCAATGCACCTATTTTTATCGGCAGCAAATAAAATTTTTGAAAAAAAATTCTGTGAAGTCCAAAGTAAATTTATGTTCGAAGAGTTTACCTTAAAATTTCCGAAATTGAAATGGAAAATCTCAAGAATTAAAAACCATAAAAAAAACTGAAAATTTTTCAGATTTTATATTAACGTTTCGTGAGTTACATTTACTTATTAAATATCATGTTCTTCGCACTTGAACCATAAAATTAAATTCAGCAGCAATATCATAACATATTTAAAAGAGCATATCTTTAAAATTTCCGATACACAGTCTCCCGCGCTGAAGACAATTTTCCCCCCTCCCCGTGCAGTGTTACGATTGCTCGCTTTGAAATCGTTGAGTTTTTTAATCAAAAACTCATCAATGCTTTACAAAATATGAAACAGATTATAAAACAAATTCCAGATTCCAAATTTGGTCTTCCATATGCCCATAATCGGTTGGAGACGCTCGTTATTCAAAATTTGATTGGATATAGGTATTATTGTTGATCTAGGTACACAATGCGAGAAACATACATGCATTTATGCAGATTCCTTATTATTTAATTTCTTTAAATATAATACAGGGCTCTAATATATGGTAGCAACAATTTAAAAATGTTTCGCGGTTTATAGTGAATAACCGCAAAATGGTAAAACGAAATTAATAGCCCTTCTGGGCAAATTGCTCCTGGTGCTAAAAATCATAAGATTAAAAGGAAAAATTCGTCTGATATTGCAATGCAGATTTTAAGGCAAAACCTAAAGTACTTTTAAGCTTATTAGTTGCGATAGGCTGAAAAGTTTCAGAAATAAACCTCATCTCCCCCCCCCCAAGAAACTGAAGATGTAAAACACAAAATCTTGTTAAGCAAGCGTTTGAAATGGCAAAACCAAAAGCCAAGTAAAACAAATTTACAATCTACTGTCAGTTAACTGCATACGGTTTAATCAGATCCAGTCTAAAAAAAAAAATGTTTTTTTATTGCTAAACGATGGAAAAGGTTTTATCACAATCTAAAAGCATTCAACAAAATTGTCTATAAAAATCAGGGAAACGGGGGGGGAATGACACAAATGCTGCTACAGAGCTGAATACAATTTATTAACAAAAAACTGATAGCACATCAGTTAGAAATAATCCCTGTCCATGTCAATACACTTCTGCCATCTGGCCGTAAGATCCCGAAGGGCTTTAGTAAACCAGTCTGTGGGGGTGTTGGTGCACCACTTATGGCCAATTGCATGCAATTCGGCAGAAGATTCAACATGCTGGCCCATGACTGCGTCCTTCCTCTTATCAAGCAAGCCGTAGTCTAATGTCTTGGTTCGAGGTCCGAGGTCCACCTACTTTGCACTCACATTTTTTTGTCTTCAAATCACAATGCACAATCGCCTGCAATGTTCCTTGCGGAAGCCCTGCCTCTTGTTGAACGTTATGCGCCTGTTCGCTATGATCAAATCCGACACGGCTGCCACAATTGCTGCTGTATGCGATGTTGCTGGTCGTCCCGCGCTGACACCTATGGCTGTAGTCTCCACTCCACTACTGAACTTGGCCAACCAACGGGATACAGTACACCTTGAGGGTGTTTTGTTCCCACACAACGGCACCATGCGACGATGGATCTCATTACCCTGTATACATTCCTTTCATAGGAACCACGCTGTTCAACGCTGACCGTGATAATTATCTTCCATCATTGCTGTTCACACTCTCAATAATGACGGCGAAGGGGACGGGTGTTGACTTATACCGTTCGCTTGCCAGCTCCATCTATGCATTCTGAGTAGCTCACTCCTCCCTTGTGACTATTTCACTTGTTTTCCCTTCACGTAGTGTAATAGTTCCGTTGTGTCAATCATTTCTGTACGATCCACGTATTATTTACACTGTGTCCTTTTTTGATTTAAATAGTGATTTAATTTAAACAACCAAATGAACTTATTCTCGATGTTATTTTTTTTAAATAGAAGTAAATTTTAAAAAGTAATTTTTGTTAATTTTAATATGGGTTAATCCTCTTTTGTGCGAGTTTTCCCCCTCTTTTTACATCCTTATTCGAAGAAAAGGAAGCATTGTAATTGCGAAAATTTTCGGGTGTAATATTTCAACGAAAATATCCATTTTGACCACTCTCGAATCCATCTAAAAGATGTTTTTGTGACATATGCATGTACGAAGAGTGTAAGGGTCTCTTTTTCCCAAGTGGATTGTAAATGGATTCAGAAAACATTTTTTCGTGACGTCTGTATGCATGTACGTACGTACGTATGTATCTCGCATAACTCTAAAACGAGTAGCCTGAGGACTTTTAAATTTTGTGTATGGAACTGCTATAACATGTAGATATGTACTTCTCTTTTTGGTTGCAATTGGCCGCACCTAAAGTATATAAATATGTGTATATCCTCTCTGTGAACTCAGTTTCTTTATTCTTAGATGTCTGAGCAGTGGCCACACAAAGTTGCGAGCTCTGAGCTGCCGCTCCATGGCATCTCAAATGTGCTCTATCGGCTTAAGATCAGGCGAGTTAGGTGAAGGAGGATATTAATTGGAATTCATCCTTATGTTCCTCGAAACACTGCAACACAATTCAAACTTTGTGACATGGGGAATTGTCCTGTGGGAAGGTTCCATTTCTAGTTGGGAAACCATACGCCATGTAAGGGTGCAATTGATCCGCAGTTATGTTCAGATAGCCCGCAGCTTTCATGGTCTTTTCTACCAAAACTGAGGATCCCAAAGCATCCTATGAGACGTTCCCCAAAGCTTAATACCGCCACCACCAGCCTGTGTATGTCCTGTTGTACGGGCGAGGAGCACCTGTTCGCCTTGAAGACGGCGTACCCTGACACGACCATCTAAGATGAATGAGAAATTGTGATTCATCTGACCAGACAACTGTCTTCTACTCATCCTTGGTCGAGTCTTGATGTTCCAGAATCCACTGTAGGCGAGTTATATAGTTATTTAGTTAATAATAACGCTTAATCAACAGATGCACAGAAGTGAGATGTCTGCTGCGACTGCGAAAATCTCAGTCGCAGTTCCATATCCAACAATGTCTGCTGAAATATGTGTCTCCAAACACTTTCACTCGGACTTGCACTGAGCTGAGCCACTGTGTGGCTCTGATTTTGCTGTACCAAGTGAAACAGTCTCCGACGCCATTTTCCTTCGATGACGTGTGGGCGTCCAACACCTTTGCATCTACTGCTGGTTTCACTGTCATTTATCCACTCTGCAAATATTAGCAATGGCGTATCGTGAATAACCTACCAGTTCCAAATCTTCCAAATCCATTACAATCTGATCTTTATCAAATTCGCTTAATTCAGCAACCCTTCCTCGCAAGAGTAAGAATAAGAATGATTCCTTACCTTCTCCAACAGCAGTTAAATACCATTTCCACTAAAGTAACCGAACACGTTAAAAAGGCCAATTTTGGCAGAAAACGGCAGGTTTATTCGTTCATTGGATAGATTGTTTATTTAGCTTTCCAAACCTAGTCTGATTTTGTTTCTACGTTAATTAGAAACCGAGATATTAAGGATTTTATAAAGACGCAAAAACTGAAAATTGGCATTTAAATCACCGAACGGGAGCATTCAAAGTTTGAAAAGAGCTAGAAATGGACATAAATATTTCTTTTACCTTTGTAATGTAATTTAAAGACTTTCAAAGGGAGGAAATTGAAAGAATCTTCTCTGTAATCTGTGCAGCAACATGAAATTATTTCCAACAAAATGCAATATTTTTATTAATCTGTTGAAAGCGTATGTCCTCGCTAGCATATGAGTTTGATTTGATTCGAAACTTAGCATACTGCAATTAGATTTATCCTAATCTTTGATTATTTTTAATAAAGTTCGAGTTAAAAGTATAATAAAGAATGATAGTTAAAATTATAATAAAAGGTGATAAAAAAAAACCGAAGCCGTTTTTCTAAATGTAAATGCGTAAGGAACAAATTTATGAAACGGGTTGCGGAGGAAATTGAGAATAATGTTAACAAAGCAATTCCCATCGAGTTAACTAAAACTCAAATGTTTTTTTATCGCAGAGTTTTTTTAAAATGATTTGTGACGTAAAAGATATTAATGTAGTGTCACCAAATATGGTCGCATAAGTCATATTGAGAAATCCCGTTCCAGAGTTAGAAAATCGAAAGGAATACAAAAATATCTTGATGTAAAGCTCAACGTCGCTCACTAACGAATGTTTTTATTGAAAAGCTTCATAATGGAGTTAGCATCAGGAACAATGAATGGAAAGTGCTGTAA